AAGAAAACAAAACAAAACAAAACCCCCAAAACAAATGGAAAAAAAAGGAATTAAAAAAACCCTTCAAATACAAAAATGAAAATAAATTTAAAAAAGGGGGGGGGCGACATATCTGCACGCTACATTTCTGGTAAGAGCCACCAATTCAGAACAGCCTGAAATGGAGTAAACTCGGTTTAAGAAGGCATAGAGAGATGTCTCTGGTAGGTTTTAAAAAGATCTCCTTCAAAAACGATAAAAAATGGTTTAAAAAAAAGTTTTGGCACTTAAGAGGGGTAAGCTGGCTGTGTGTTCACCCTGGCAGGCAGGCGGGCGGGCGTTCAGTGCCCCGCCACGCCGGTTAGCTGAGCCGCCACGGCATTGTGAACTGCTTTGGGACACTGGGCAAAGGCGTGTCCCCGCTTGCCACAGAGGTTGCACACGATGCCCTTCCGGCAGTAAGGGCTCAGGTGCCCCTCTTCCCCACACCTGAAACACCTGTCCTGCGTGCAGTTGCCGCTCATGTGGGTGCGGGAACCACACTTGAAGCACGTCTTGGGCTGCCCCTTGTACCAGCTGTACCCCCTCTCGGCCCCCAGGAAAAAGGCCCCCGGCAGGTGCCTGACCCCGCCCTCCCCCTGGCGCAGCTCGATCTCGCACTTGTACTCCCCGGTCCAGATCCCAAACCTGTCGGTCACTTTCACGGGCACCGCCAGCACGTCGCAGTGGCGCTTGAGCCAGGTCACGATGTCCTCCACGTCCACCGTCTCGTTCCGGAAGAGGATGAAGAGCGTTTTCAGGCTGGACTTGCTCCGCCCCAGCACCACAAAGTTCTCCCAGCAGTCCTCCTGCTCGCGCTTCTCCTCGTAGACGCGGAGGAACAGGGCCAGCTTCTCCGCCGAGCGGAAGCTCACGTCGAACTCGCGGCTGCCGGGGATCTGGATGACTGCGTAGATGTCGCTCGGGTCCATGCCGATGGAGCGCAGGATGAGCGCGCCCACTACGAAGTCCCGGGTCGGGCAGGAGCCCTCGTCACCCTGGAAACAGATGCGCACGAGGAAGCGACCTTTGCCCGGGCCCGCGGCCGCCGCCTGCTCATCCTGGAGGGGCCGCTCGGCCGCGTCCTCTGCCGCGCCGGGCCTGGMGGGGACCGCCATGGCCGCCCCCGCCTCGGCCTTCTTCCTTCTGCCCGGCTCGGCTGCGCCCTTCTTCTTGCGGGGGTCGGCCGCCTCCCCCGCCGGGTCTCTCCGGCGGCCTTTCGGGTCCCCGCGACCGGCCGGGGGGAAGTCGCCGAGGCCCGGCGCCGCCAGGCCCGCGGGAGCATTGAGTCCGCCTCCCGCGTTGCCGCCGCCTTCTTCCTCGCGTCGCGGCGCCCGCGATTCGCGGAACTCGCCCTTCTTCTCGGCCAGGTTCTTCACCACCTGGGCCCAGCCCATCTTCTCGCGCGTGCCCTCGGCCTCCTCGCCCCGGGCCGCGGGCCGCGCGGGGGGCAGAAGCTGCGGCCGGCCCCGCTTCCTCTCCTCCTCCGCGCCGCCGCCGGTGGCCATTTTACCTCCTTCCCAGCATCCTCCACTCGCTCCCGCAGCCAAAGGGCGCCCATCGCGCGCGCCCGCCCGCCCGGGGCTGTGGGGTTTGGAGTTTTTTTTTTTTTTTTTTTTTGAAATTCGACGCTTCTCTCCCCCGTCCCCCCGCCCCCCCNGCGCGCCCGCCCGCCCGGGGCTGTGGGGTTTGGAGTTTTTTTTTTTTTTTTTTTTTGAAATTCGACGCTTCTCTCCCCCGTCCCCCCGCCCCCCCGCAGGAGTGTTTACGTGCAGCGCATATTGGACGGCGCCGGCCCCGGGCCCCGCAGCGGCTGAGCCCWGTTTCCGCAGGCGCCGGCTCCGGCCCCTCCTCCCGCCGCGGGACGGGGAGCTCGGCGGCCCTGCGCCCGGGCGGGCTTGGCAGCCTCGGCCTCGCTCTCGAGGATTTGGCATTTCGCAAGCGATCCTCGATGGTTTCATTCAAGCCGCGATGTTTAACGGCCCACGGCCGAAAGGCGGGACGGTGTAGAGGGAGATCTCGCTCATTTTGTTTGTTTTTTTTGGTGACTTTCAAATTTAAAAACAAACAAAAGCCGCACTTCGCTGTCCCTTCCCCCGAAGTGTACCACAATGCACGATTCCCCCTCCTAACGTTGGATCAAGAGCATTTGAAAACAAAGGAAAAAAAAAGAAAGAAAGAATTTTAGTGGAAATTTTGCCACTTTAACAACTTTATTATTAGCTACTGGGAATTGATCCAAGGGTTACATTACCACCGAGCTGCATCCCCAGTCTTTTTTATTCTTCGAGATGGGTCTTGCCAAATTGCTGAGGCTGGCCTCCAACTTGGAATCTTCCTGYCTCAGTCTCCCCAGTCACTGGTGTTACAGGTGTGCCCCTCCACACCTGTCAAAACTTTTACTGTACTAATCCCATTGTCCATTTGTTCGTCCTTATTTTTTGATGCATTTTTCAAGTAAGTCATTGCATTTTTGTTTTTTAAAAAACATCTCTTGTACTTATGATGATTATAATATATTGAGTGCTTTTTAAGTGCCCCATATTACGCTGAGCATACTGCATGCAGACTTTAACACATGGACTCTTCGGAATACAATGCTCTAAATACACTTATTTTACAGATAAGGAGGCAGGAGTTTGAAGAGAGAAGTTTGATCACTTGGCAGATTTAGGCAGTCCCTTGTGTAGGTAACTCTCAATAGCTACTCTCAAAGGACTACTATTAATATGTTAATAACTATCAAACTAATTAATTTATCCATGCATTATAGGTTCATGTAACCTATGGCAAAGAGCTTGGTCCAAAGTGGATTCCTAGGAAAGTTAGTTAATTCTTCCTTTCTTCCACTGTTAAGAGTCTCTCCTGTTTCTCTAAAACATTTTCCAAATTCTACTTAGCTTTTTTTTTTTTTTTTTTTAAGGGGATTAAATCTAGGGGGCATTCTTATCACTGAGCTATACTACCAGCCCTTTTTAATTTTTTTGGTACAGGGATTGAACCCAGGGGTGCTTAATCACTGAGCCATATCCCTAGTCCTTTTTATTTTAGACAAGGTCTAGCTAAGTTGCTAAGGATCTTGCTAAATTGCTGAAGCTGGCCTCAGACTTGCAGTCTTCCTGCCTCAGCCTCTGGAGCCACTGGGAAGGATTATAGGCATGTGGCACTGCATCCAGCACCCCCACCCCAAGTCCTTTTCAAAAAACTTTTTTTAGGGGCTGGGGATGTGGCTCAAGCCGTAGCGTGCTTGACTGGCATGCGTGCGGCCCGGGTTCGATCCTCAGCACCACATACCAACAAAGATGTTGTGTCCGCCCAGAACTAAAAAATAAATATTAAAATTTCTCTCTCTTAAAAAAAAAAAAAAAAAAAACTTTTTTTAAACAGGGTCTTGCTAAGTTGCCTAGTCTGGCCTCCAACTGAGATCCTCCTGCCTCAGTCTCCCATCTTGCTGGAATTATACATATGTGCCACCACACCCAAGTTCTTCTTAGTATTTCGAATCTTTATTACTAGCTTACCATCTTTTCCTTTGCCTCCAACTCCAGGTCTCAGAAAAGTCAATAATCCCTGACTCTTGTGCCACTTGCACTTCCCAGTTCCCTTGCTTTATATCCCCAGATGCACCTTCCTCCATCCCTTCTCAGCCACTCATTCATGGTCATGCTCAGAACCTCAATATTACCAAAAATATCAGTCTTAGATCCATACCTCCCACTCTCTTACTCTTTCTGCTTGCCTGCTCAAGTCTTCCCATGCGAGGATATTTACAAAACCAGCAGAACATGTATTCTAAATAATCACTTATGATCTTACCTAAGTCCAGGTAACAATCACATTGAAAATCCACAAAAGTCAAGGTGAGGGTCCACTGTGGCCAGATAATCCATTTCTAAAGAAGAACTTGAACTCTAGTTTCTTCTTTTATGGGAAACGTTTTTCTCCTTACAATTCTTAAGCTATATCTGGAACCTCCATATAAGTTTTAAAACTAGTCTACTAAATTCCAAAAAGCCATAGCATTTTAGTTGAAATCACATTGCATTTATACAGAACTGGCATTTAAAATGCTGAGTCTCGCCATCTATGACCCTACTTAATTTATCATTTATTTAGATCTCTTTTTTTATGAAAAAAAATTTTTTTTCACTGAGGAATGAACCCAGGGGCACTCAACCACTGAGTCACGTCCCCAGCCCTTTTCTGTATTTTATTTAGAGATAGGGTCTCACTGAGTTGCTGAGCTCCTCGTTTTTGCTGAGGCTGACTCTGAAATTGTGATCCTCCTGCCTTAGCCTCCTGAGCCACTTGGGATTACAGATGTGGGCCACTGCATGCAGGTTGAATTTCAGTAGCATATTTTTTTTTTCCAGAAAAATCTCAATTTTGGGATACATTCCAAGATGTTATATGGATTGGATGCTACTGTAAGTGAAATTATCATAAATGTAAATATATTGTTTGTTGATGGTAGTTAGAGGGAACACAATTGAACTTTGAGTACTGACCCCATATTTAGCAACAAAGGTGAAACCTGAAAAWTTTTCCATGGTTTCTTTCTGCCTCCTTTTTGTACTGCCATAATGGTGCGCATGCAGGTCCTGGCTGATGCTCTCAAGAGCATTCACAGAGCTGAAAAGTCAAGTCCTTATTAGGCCACTCTCCAGAGTCATCTTCGGTTTCTGACTGTGATGAGGAAGCGTGGTTACATCGGCAAATTGGAAACCACTGATGATCACAGAGCTGGGGAAATGGCTGTGAACCTTACACGTAGGTGGGACAAGCGAGGTGTGATCAGCCCCAGAGTTGATGTGCAGCTCAAAGACCTAGAAAAGTGGCAGAGTCACCTGTTCCCATTTTGTTTTTTTTGGTACCTGGGATTGAACTTGGGAGCACTCAACCACTGAGCCTCATCCCCAGCCCTATGTTGTATTTTATTTAGAGACAGAGTCTCACTGAGTTACTTAGGGCCTTGCTAAGTTGCTGAGGTTGGCTTTGAACTTGGGATCCTCCTGCCTCAGCCTCCCAAGCTGCTGGGATTACAGATGTGTGCCAACCATACCCGGGTCACCTGCTCCCATTTTGTCAGTTCAGGTTCATCCTATTGACACCCTCAGCTAGCATTCTGGACCATGAAAATATAGAAGGGATAATCCTGAGAGCCTTTTTCCAGGGATGCAAACCATACATACAAATTAAATGCCTCAATGAAGACAAATGCCTCAGAGTAGGTTCCAGTGGTTTTGGAATCTACTTTTCTATGTTGACAGTCCTGTTGTTTGTGAATAAGGAAGGTTTTGTTTTTCTTTTTAGTTTTCATGCTTTTTCTTGTCTTACTGTWTCAGCCAGGACCTCTCATACTCAGCATATTTTGGACATTTTTTGCATCGTCTCTGACTTTAAAGATTTTCATTTGTAGTTTGAAAAGATTTGACTTGTGGATTGGGTTCACTTTATCTTTTTTTTTTTTTTTTTTTCCAGTACTGGGGTCTGAACCCATGCCTGTAATCTGAGGGACTTGGGAGGCTGAGGCAGAATGATTGCAAGTTTGAGATCAGTCTGGGCAACTTAGTGAGACCCTGTCTCCAAATTAAAAATAAAAAGGGGGGGCTGGGGATATGGCTCAAGCGGTAGCGCACTCGCCTGGCATGCGTGCRGCCCGGGTTCGATCCTCAGCACCACATACAAAAACAAAGATGTTGTGTCCGCCGAGAACTAAAAATAAATATAAAAAAAATTTTAAAAACAAAAATAAAAAGGTCTGGGGATGTAGCTCAGTGGTAGAGCACTTACCATGTGCAAGGCCCTGGGTTCATTCCCTAATACCACAACAAACAACAGCAACAACCCAGGACAGATAGATGTGTGCAGGCTAGGCCAGGCCAACAAGTTTGCCATCTTTGGCTAAGGTATCATTATTTCCACTTTACACAGGAGACTGAGGGGGTAAAGGGACCTGTCTCAGGAGTATCTCTGAGATCTTTGAGAGCTAGGCCATGTCTTCCTCTCTGTCTTCACAGATGATTGCRGGGGGGACAACAGTTACCTAGTGCTCTGTAAGCACTTAGTGACAGCTGGTTTTTGAGTTCTTAGGAAACTTACTATGTTAGTTTGAAATAACCGAATGGCAGAAAATTCTAGAATAATGGAAAGATAAGAATGAAACTTCTCTCTGTCATAAGTCTGGAGGTACACAGCTCAGACCTGGTGTTGTGGCTTCACAGTCAGGGACAGGCTGGAGCCAAGCAGACCGGATCCATCCTCTGTCACACTTCACCTTCACACCTGCAGGAAGGAAAGGCCACTTCATCTTGCCCAGCTACAGTGAAATAGGAGGTTATACCAGGTGCTCACGAAACAGAAATGCCACTCAAACAGGGATAAGTGCAGTATCTTCAATCTCAGTTCAAACATCAGCTTTGATGTTACAACAATGATCGTCAATGGCCCCTCAAATATGTTTTGGCCTTGATTACAAGGGCAGCCTTTTAAACATGCTTAAGTGTAT